GGGAGACAATTGCTCTACCCCCTGAGCCACAGCCACCCTAATTAATGGTTGAATGGTTAATCACAGGGATTTAGTCACCTAAATGTATGTCTATTATTAAGACTTGATTAGTTAAACACAGGGCAGGGTTTCTTCTGTTGTAGAAATAAAAAAACAGTTGTGATAAGTGTATCAGTTTGGTCACGCAATGATGAAGTGATTAGAATTTGGTGGTTAAAGGTCAAGGTCACTGGGACCTTGTGCCCATCTCATTTTGTGAAACGATATCTCAAAAAGACCATAGGGAATGTCCTAAAATTTGGCACAAATTATCTATGTGGACTCAAGAATTAAATGTTTAGAATTTGGTAGTCAAAGGTCAAGGTCACTGTGACCTAACAACACGTTTTTGGCCATAACTCAGGAATTCATACACAAATTCTGACAAAACTTTTTACACAGATGTATATATATTATAATGATGAAATGATGGCATTTAATATCCAAAATTTAAAATTTTCCTCAAGGTGTTCTTGAGATACCGCATTCACAAAACTCTAATCTAATCAGTTCATCCTTGAGTCCAAGTCAACCTTTGTGCCAAATTTCTTAGAATATTGCATTCACGAAAAGGACACAGGCAAGTTCACAGTGACCTTGACCTTTGACCTGCAGACAACCCAAAAACATAATGTCTCCAGCCACGGCTATCACCAGCGCAGAGGCACAATGACATTATTATCCCGTCAATTCAGAAAAACGAAAGCAAATATTTTTCCCATAAAAACTCTCTTAGAACTCTCATATTATGCTTTTGTTCATTTAAAAAATGAGAAATAATGACATTATCTCGCTTATTCCGAAAACTGAGAATGAATAGCATTATTATCTTGTCAATTCAAGAAACAAAGAGCAAAAGAAAAAATTTAATTCAGAAAAACAAGCTTTTTTTCCCCCATGAAAACTCTTTTTCAGAATTACACCTCCATAAATGCCATGTTTTTGTCCCAGTGTGTTTTTTGATACACCAATATTTTCCATGTACAGGTGGGGGAACACACCACTGGAAGAAGCTATGCATTTTGGCCACCACGATGTGGTCACCATCTTGCAGAACTACCAGGACAAATACAGCCCGCCTGCCAGCGCTAACGACAAGGAGAGCGCAGAGAAGAGCCTGGACAGCTTGCTGTAGACCTGCTGCACACATCTACAATACTTTAGGTTTATATGCACACAGTGAAGCATTGTACTTACCTGGAATCACTTTGTACATTAGTGACCATATTTTTGAAATGTGTTATGAATTAGTTATCGTTGTTATGTCTCATCTGGTTTGCTTTGCTTCTGGCTGTGCATCACTGCTCTTCATATCTCTCCCTCACCTCCATCATAATGCAATGTGTGTTGTATGTGTGAGTGAGCACTTCATCAATACTGTTTAAACAAATGATACAATATCTGGATATCTGTAATGCAGTGTTTACAGAATATTACTCATGTAAAGTGTCGGTACTCTAAATCACATTTGTGGTACTAAAGTGTATTAGTTTAGTTACTGTATAGTTAATGTTATACTACTCTCTACCTGGAAATATTTGGGTTATACTCTGATTGTATTAGTTTTGTGAGTCAGTGAGGTGTGTGGAAGTTATGATATAAACTTTATAATGTGTCTATGATTGTGTAAATGTGTAACTGCTCACAGGCATTATGCTGACTCTGCAGTTATGTGCCTGTTTGATCTCCATATAGCTGCATCTATTGTTCTCCTGACTGTTGGGAGGTCATCAGCAGGTTTTATGAAGCTTCGTCTCCTTTGAGGTCATTGAAAGACTGTACTCCAAATGTATTTTTTCAGTGGCAACATTTGCAATAGAAGCACTATGTATTTATTTCACAGAGAGACTTTTTAAAGAGTAAAATTCATCTAAAGATGTAAGATTGTGTAATTTGTTGCATCTGAGATAAAGGGAAGTTGGTTCTTTATTTTTGTAGTCATAGTTACATTTTTCTGTGTATGTTGCTCATTTTTAAACACATAATGTTAATAAGAAGGCAGTTTATCTGCTTTTCTCCCACATCCTCCACCCATTCCTGTCAACAATGCCAGCAACCAAAGACCTGCCCAAATTTTAAAATTCTCTGAATCTAGATGAAGAATACCTATTTTTGCAAATTGGCTTCATTATATTGGCGTCTTGGACTGCACCAGGGCTGTGACTAAAGATTATGATGCTAATTATTTCCTCGATTAATCAGTTAATCATTATGTCAATAACATGTCAGAAGTAGTGAAACATGCCCTGTGTAATTTTCCACTGCCCTTGGTGATGTCTGTTATGTTTTATCTGACTAAAAATCAGAAGATATGTAGTTTATTATTATGTATGGCAAAGAAAAGTGTCAAAGAAGCAGAAAACCAGCAAATGATTGGCATTTTGGCTTAAAAATTTATTATTCAATAATCACAATGGTTGCCAATTAATTTTCTGTCAATCGACTAATCAGTTAATTGTTGCAGCTCTAACCATCATGCTGTTGGGTTTTCCTGCACAGAACAATTTCATCAGCACAAGGACAATTTCTAAAACTTTGACAGCTATCAGTCTGAATGGACTTCTTGCAATAACTCTTCAGTATTCTCATATTACCTATGCACTAGAAAGTTATTTCCAAATGCTCTTTCACATACATCTAATCCAAATCAAAGTCTATGGCTTTACTGTAAGAATGTACCAGATTTTCCCCAATGACATTTATTTTGAAAAAGTATATAAATATGAATAATGCATACTGTGCAATGACCTTGACTTGAATTAAACAAATTGTGTCAACACACAGGATTCAAATTATGTTGTAACATTACAAGTAAGTTTTTTTCTCATGGTCTGACTGTAGTTGCTGCATTTCCTGAACACTGGAATTTAAGTCTTTATAGAGAGGCTATATATTTCACATACAGTATTTGATCTCATTTAAAATTTGCTTGATGGCTTAAATTTCACAATAGTGACGGATAAAAAGTCCATACAGGTTGGGAAACACTGTGGAGCCCCAGAAGTGACAAATGTCCATAATGAACTACCTGATGAGTCAAAAGTAGTCTATATTTTTAAAACTACTGTAAATGTGTGTAAAAGTTATATCCATGAACTCCAATGAGGTAGAAAATGTATTTATATATATGGTTCTACCTCTGTCCCTCCTGTTTTTATTACCCTTAGTAGATGTTAAATTATTTATTTATTTGGTGTATTTGCAGACATGAGAAGGGTTTGCTGGTATCTGAAACATTCTATATGTGCAGTAATGGTCTCTTCATACATCCATAACCCTTGCCATTGTCTTGTAATCAGGTGGTTGGTAGCATGTAAGTGTATTAATACCACCCACTGTTATTAACTATGGAGGGCTTATTCTTTCTCACACACACTCTAGACAAATCGTGGCCCTGGACCATAAACACCCTTCTCGCTGTGATGGCCTTACTGACAGCGGTGGTGTGTCTGTGTGTCACCAAGTTGGAAATATCGTTTAGAAAATAGTTTTTCCCACTTAGCAGCTCATAATTAGTTTAGACCATGACATGACAACATGCTGATGTACTTTCCATGTTCACCATTTTAGCTTAGCATGGTAGTGTTTGCAAACTATGGAAGCCAAGAAAAGTTGTGCTTGCAATTTTGTTAATGCAGTTATTTCAGTAAATTATTCTGTTGTCTCAAGAAAACCAATTTTGTTATCTTGACATAACAAGATAATTAACTCATTATCACAAGAAAACCAAAGGTTGTTTCCTCTTACATCAAGAGTGCCGGCTCAGCCCGCATAGTGTCCTGTCAACTGTGATTTTGTTGTAAGCTAAAGTATGTCAGAATAAGCAGAGAGCTTCCCATAACTGATCAGCATGAGACTGAACTTCAGTCAAAGTCTAACACAGACAGACATTGCAGTTTCTTTCTCAGTGATGTTAAAGGCTGGTATCAAATGTGATCAAATAAACTTTTGTTTTAGAGTTCTCCGAATTATCCTGTAATCTCAAGAAAGTATGTATGTATTCCTGTGATAAATTATCTACTTATCTGTTCTTGGTTTCCGTAGAAAATGCATATTAGCACTAAACATGAAGCACAGCTGAGGATCATGGGAATGTCCTCAGTTATACAGGTATATGGTCTTAAATACAACCTCATGTTAGCAAAGTTCATGGCACACCATTGATTAGTAGTTGAGATATTTCAGAAAAAGAAACAGAGGCAATGTCACTGTTCTCCTTCCAGAACAACAAACAATACAACAAAGTTAACGTATATGTTAAACAGACTGTGTTTTAGATGAACTTCTTATATAATCATATGTAGTGTATAGGCTTGTTTAACTCATTTTATCCATTATGTTTTGACGGAAACAAGCGTGTAATAATGTCAGAAAACAGTAACTTAAAGTGTAGATGAGGTGTCAGTGATTTTAGGCTCCATTCCAAAAAAATCTGATGGTGGGGTTACTCCAGTAGCTCATTTCATCCACTGTTTTTAGTTAGAGGAAAATATTAACTGTTCAATATTTACAAGAATTTCAAATGATTCAACTTACTCTTACGTTATATATGTAGTCAGTTATACTTGGCATAACTTGACTCACCAGGCAACACATTAGTGACACTTGCTGCTTATGGGACTCTGTTTTAAGTGCTGAAAATTTGGTCACTACAATAACACAATGCAAAAGGATAAAAATTTTAGGAAGTGTAATATACTGTGCTGCTCTTAGACTTTCTAATGAAATGTCTTTCCTCCTGTTGAACTGATTTCTGAAGGTTGGTATTTTTTTTTAGAACTACAAGTTTGTGCTTTGACCAGGTGATGTGGAGGTCAGAGCAGATTCCCCACAAAAAAACTGAAAACAAGGAGTCAAGAAGACAGTATTGTCCTGTATTTGTCCTTTTCTCTGTATAAATGAAATTGTTATTAAAGGTTCAGTACTTGATAAAGCAAATGTTATTTCTCTCAGCACGGGAATGCATTCAGATATGTTTATTTTAATAAACAAAATTAAAGAACAACTACAATACATCATGGTGTTTTTACACACAGCACAGGCATTTTCATTGAAAAAGTAATGTGCAAATAGAAATTTCCTCAGTATACATTTAAACAGTACAGTAGAAAAGCACATTTGTTAGAACCACCTCTTACATCACCTAATTATCTTAAAATTGCTTTTATCTTTGCACAATATATCCATATGGCAGAATCTTAAACAATTATACTCATACATGTTGATCATTGTTTTTATGGTATTCTTAATTTTTACAGTAAGTGACTTTGTTCTGTTTTCTTATTTTTCATTGTATTACTTGTACTGAAAACATTCCCTGTACTTGGTGAGTGAGAGTCCCCATTCTGATAACTTTCTGGTTCTGACACAATAAGCCAGCATTTTCAAAAGGTGTTATATAGATCAACAAAGTTGGTCTGAGATGATGCCATATCTTGGTAAGTCATTAAGTCGGGGAGTTCAGGTAAGTTGAGTAAATCAGAGAAGAGTTCTTGATGATGCTCCTCCAGCTACAAGGAAACAAAAAGAGTTTGTTTTAAAATAACTGCAGACAAAAAGTGTTTCATACAGTGAAGGGAAATCAAACTATATGTATCTTAGAAAAACCTGGAATTACTGAAATTATGATATTGTAAAAGCTGCAATAATTAATATTTTCATTTTAACATTAATGTGAGAGGTGTCGAATCCACAGAGGATCACCACTCAACTCTGCCGTACCTTTCAGCTCTCTCTATTAAGTTTTATTTATTTGTTTTTTTATATAGCTCGCAACCCTTCTTTTTGATTTAGTCTCACTGCTCTCATCTATGTCACTTCCAGCAACAACAGGCAGCTGTTTCCATTAAAAAGCTCAGATAAACCAAATGCTCACCATCCATCCACCACGAACAGATGTGTGTTAGTAAACAGCTGGTGAACATAGTGGAGCATTTAGTGGCTAAATAGACAGATATTTCTTTTAGGGGTTGGTGCAGACCAAAACAGACATGAAAGAAGAGTGAATATTGGACTCAAAATTTGTAGGTGACCAAACATGACTCCAAATGTGTGCTGCTGGATGTGTAGATAAAGGGTGATAATGGGCTCTAGTTTCGCAGACTGGGCGAGGCGGAGGCGAAGCGCAACTGGGTGTGGCCAGGCAGATTTTGCAAGTTTGGCACACCGTGTGTGCTGGCGCAGCTACTCCTCTTTCCCACCTCCGTCCCTCCTATCTGCACAAGTCGGAAAGAGGGAGGAGAGAAGGCGTGGAGTGGGTTTTACACACATCACACCAATCAAATGAGCCCCTCTCCTCGCCCTTAAATGCGCCGCGTGAAGGCGTAATGAGAGTTTACTCAATTCGCCATGGCAGAAGAGAGCAGCAGTGGCAGACAGCCAAACTTCTCCCAGGAGGAAACTGATGTTTTGGTCCGGGAGGTCCAAGCTCGCAGTTTCCGAATATACGGAACTGTGAGCAGACCTCCACGGGCTGATGATGCAAAGCTTTCCTGGGAGGAGGTCACCACAATTGTAAATCAATGTTGCGTTAAGATGACAGATGCTGAATATATACTCCCTGTCTGATGCTGGCTGTTTGTGGTTGGCTGAGAGGGATGTGAACTCATTAGTTTGCAGCTGTGTTAATCAAATCAGGTTGGGTTTCCGTTACGCGTGCCAAACGGTGCCAATCCCCTTTGATCTGACATCAGATATGACGGGACAGTCGATATAGAGATACATTTATGTGCTGATTGCAGATAGTTGCATTGAATAGTGGTTTTTTGGGTATTTATTGCATCGTTAATGTGCCTGACATTCTGGAAACCTGCCTGTGAGGTTTTGGTGACGTGTGTGCACTGTCCGCCGGTCAGCCAAACTTCGGCTTACACCAGCTGTGCTCCACCTGCGCTGACAGTAGACCTGGTTTCAGCTGGCAAGCTTTTAGCGCACCTTCGGCGAAGCCTTTTGGCACGAAACTGTCACTGCGCCAAGCTGGATCTGTCGACATCTCCCCCTGCTGCGCCGCCACACCCATCTCAGCGCACCTCAGTCTGCCAAACTACCAAACTGAGCGTGCCTCGGGTTGCGCTGCTCAAAACTAGCTCTGCGCGGGGTTTGCCACCCTGCGCCACCCTGCGCCGTGCCGGGAAACTAGAGCCCAATGTGTCAATGTTATGCTAGCTGCTTGTTCCACTGCCCCCATGTGGCCAAAAATACAAATAAGTGCCACTGTAAGGAAATGAGCTGTAAAATTTCAAACCCACTCTCGTATCTACATCCACGTCCATGATGACCATCTCCCCAGGTGGAGATGGAGGTGGTGTGGGATTTCTGTAGAAAAAATATCAAAGTTTAAGGTAAGTATTATATTGTTATTTAGCATTTTTGAAAGCATCCCCATTTTCTTAATGATAAAACATTCGTAGATGGTGATCATGATGTGATGCAGTGTTCAATCCTGATGTATTTTTTGTGTAATTATTATTCTCTTACTTACTCTGAGACAGGCACCAATGTTCTGTGAACGTACGGATGTACGACCTTTTTAGGTGCCGACGTTTCTGCATGAACAGAGATGATTAGATCTTTAATTTCATTAGTTATGAATTTAAGGTCCTGAGGTACAAAAAGACCAATCACATCATAAAACAAATTCTTGTTCAGTTATTGTTGTTGTTGGTAAATAGAGTAATTTTGTTTTCAGGGGGACAAGAGACAATACCATGATTGATGTTGTAGTAGCGTCCAAAGGCAGTGTCCTTGGGAATGTCTGGGTAAAGATAGAGCAGAGGACTGTGCATGCTCTTCTGGGCTCTCAGACTGTAGTTGTAAATAATGTTTGGCAGAGACATGTTTAACAGCTCCATCTTGGTGTAGGGCTCTACTGCATGCACATGGGTGTCTACGGGGGAACCACATACAGAGAGAAAAGTGAGCAAGCACAGCTGACAAATATCTGAAAGTCAGGTGTTGAAATAATTTCATTCAAGACAGGACAAAAGACTGGAGGCAGCAGTGGCACAAGCACAGAAAAGAAATTAACATTTGGACATTGTGTATTCTCAGTTCATGAGGGTTGGTTTGGGCTGTTGTTGTTACTTGGTTCACTGATTATTCAAAAGGGGTTTCCGAGGGCCAAATAAGCACTAAAGCACCAAATAGATATAATCAGTCTAAAAAGAACTGGCTACACTTTTGTGGTCCAGCCAAAAAACTAAGGTAAATACATCTTAAAATGAAGAACAATACACAACACACTCAACCAGTAGAAAGGACCTGCTTTTTTACGGAGCTGTACACACTGATCTTTTGACACAGCCCTCACATCTTCAGCTCCGGGCAGTGATGTATGTCCCCACATGACTGGTGGAGGCCGTACAGCCATTAGCCACTACTGGAGCTAACTTCCGCCAATAACTATAGTTTGTAAAACATCCTTTCTGCTTACATGACTGGTTGTTAATAAGGTGGTGGCACCTGTTCCGACATTGTGACGTCATATTCAATAACATAAATTTTAAGGCTTGCGTCAAATAGACACTGCTGATCCTCAAACAAACTGACTAAGTGACGACGGCTGGCTTGTTAGCTTGCTAACTTGCTAATTCCATCAGGCTAATTAAGCTTTATTACAGTGGTCACAGAAAATGAACCAAACAAAGTTGTCATTTATCTTATGAATGTGCTTTTCTATGCTGTGACAGGAGTGTGTGGAAAATGTTTTAAAGGTCCAGTGAATATGATTTTGGAGCATCTACTTGCACAAATGGTGTGTGACAGAGGTGGGACCAAGTCATTGTTTTGCAAGTCACAAGTAAGTCTCAAATCTTTGCACCAAAGTTCCGAGTCAAGTCCCAAGTCAAGATAGGAAAGTCCCGAGGCAAGTCCCAGTTTGCTGGTGGATTAATGGAGTGGAGGATAAAGTTGTTGGAGGGTAAAACTACAAACAACTGAGTTTTTTTTTTTGGCTTGTTGCAGCCTCTTAAGAAACGTTCACTGAGCTGTGTGTGAGGAGAGCGAGGAGAGGGGGTGGTCTGCACTTGGCACAGGAGGGTTAGCTGGACGTCAGGTTAGCAGTTACCATGAATGTAACAGTTAACGTTCAGTGTAAGCTACAGTTTTTAAGAACCACCAGACCACTGAAGCTATTTTAACAGTGTTAAGAGAAACTGTGTCACGTGTTTTGTGTCATTTGATCTGCTCTTGACTGTAGCAGCGGCACCAATCATTTGGCAGCAGCGGAGCATGGCACACTTTTTAAATAATTATTTTTATCTTTGGGCTTGGGGTCAGGTGTCAAAAGTCAAAAGGCTGAAGTCTAAATGAAGTCACAAGCCATTGGTTTTTAAGTCCAAGTCAAGTTGCAATTCATTTTTTATTTTGTTGAGTCATCAACTTTGTGACTTGAGTCCAAGTCATATGACTGGAGTCCAATCTTCTGGTATATAATATTCATAACTATGTTTTTATTAGTTTATAATCACCTGAAACTAACAATTGTTGTGTTTTCATTACCTTAGAATAAGCTGTTTATATCTACACACAGAGCAGGTCCTCCTCTATAGATTCCGCCATGTTGTTTTATAGTAGCCCAGAATGGACAAATCAAACACTGTTTTTGCATCGGCCACCGTAATTCTCCTACATGCTTGGCCCAAGGGGAAAGTTTCAGTTCTGCAACATCACAGCTAGATGCTGCTAATTCCCAATAGGGAAACACCAACACTCATCTCATCACTCCCTCTGACCAATGGTTTACCTTCATTACTCACTCACTCACTCACAGACAGACTAATCTAAACAAGTTTTGAACATTGTCCAAACACACATACATGGACAGAAACATACCACCCTTGGAGTGCTCAACCCAGCTGAAGGTGATGGCTCCGTCTTTGCTGCTCTCACTAAAGCGCAGCAGAAAGGTCCCGGCCTGTTTTTCCTGCAATAGAAGCCGTGTTCTCTCCCTGCTCACAAACCCCATGATGAACCTGAAACCAACACACAGAATATGACAAGAGTTAAGGTAACTCGGAATTACAGTGAAATAATTCTCTGATGGCTGTGTTATTGTTTCTTTGGTCTCCTCTGTTACTGGTGTGTGGACCGCTGTCTCATAATTAAAAAGATTGTTTTTTGTGAATTATACAATTAACCACACAGTAAAACACTGCTGAGATGGCTCAGGATGCATCTTACCCATCCCGCCAAAGATCCACCAGGTGTTTTTTGATCAAATCCAGGATTCCATCGATCCAAATCCACGCATTTTCATTCTGTTCACACATGGAAGCAAAAGTCCACAAATAAACACACACACACACACACGCACACACACACACGGATGTCCTACAAATTGTATCAACTGTGTAAACTACTGTACAGTATGACAAAAATCGTCCTAAACACTCACCTTGGAGAACTTGCTCCAGTAAACGAGACCATCAGGATCATCTGTAAAGAAGCCAATGTCATGAAAATAACTAACTCTGAAGTAGAGAAATAATTACATCATCCTTTACATCTCAGGTTTATCCAAGCAATGATGGCAAGGTTAAATTCAAGAGCCATTTTTAGTTTACTTTGGAGATATGTCTGATCCCCCTTTGCTTTGGATATATTTCAAACAGTCTAAAATCTGCAGGGTCAATCAAAACAGTTTTTCTGTTTGAGAGAGAGAGACCGTAAAAAGGGGTGCCATTGAGGCATCTTGGAAAACAACCAAGATGGCTGCAGCTGATGTGAAGCTTACTGTTGAATCCCCAATTGTGACACTATTGATCGAACCACATGGTATATTTGCGCTAAAAGAAGAACAGTTAACTGCATTTAAAGCTTTTAGAAGAAAAATGTGCACAACAGGATTTGGAAACAGTTTTATTCAAAAACTCGGTAACACTTTACAATAAGGTACACAAAATTAAAGTAGTTACTGAGGAACGAATGAGTAACTAATGAGGAACTAATGAGGAACAAATGAGTAGTTACTGAGGAACTAAGCTACACAAAATTAGAGTAGTTACTGATGAACTAATGAGGAACTAATGAGGAACTAATGAGGAACGAATGAGTAACTAATGAGGAACTAATGAGGAACAAATGAGTAGTTACTGAGGAACTAAGCTACACAAAATTAGAGTAGTTACTGGGGAGCTAATGAGGAACTAATGAGGAACTAATAAGTAGTTACTGAGGAACTACGGTACACAAAATTAGAGTAGTTACTGATGAACTAATGAGGAACTAATGAGTAACTAATGAGGAACGAATGAGTAACTAATGAGGAACTAATG